CGCGGGGCGGGGGTGGGGGTCCTAGAGGGGGCGGGGGCGGGGCGGGGGCGCAGGCCTCGGACTTTGACCGGATGACCTTCAGGAGGGCTTGGTTGCGGGCGGGCAGCGCGCGTGGTTAGGGCCCCGGGTTCAGTGCAGGTGCGGGCGAGGCCTCCAGGTACAGCGGCCCAGCAGCCTGGGGGTCCTGCGCACCTCCCACGGCCCTAAGCCGGAGGCCCAGGACCTGACTCAGCAAAGGAAGCCCCGGGGGGCTCAGAGGTTTAGCACCTGCCTTCCGCCCAGGGCCCGACCCTGGAGACCCGGGATCGAGTCCCACCTCGGGCTCCCTGCATGCAGCCTGTTTCTCCCTATGCCTGTGTCTCTCATGAATAAATAAAATCTTAAAAAAAAAAAAGAGAGAGAGAAAAGAAAAGGAAGCACCTGCGTGGCTCCAGGGAGGCGAAAATCAGCCACTCGCGCGCAGCCCTCCTTTGCGGAGCAGGGGGGAGCAGTTTGCCGTGGCTTGCCCGATTTCCAAAGGCCTAGTCACTTTTGCTCTTAATAGATGCCGGCAGGGGGCACCTACCGTCCTGCCGGGGCGGTGGAGGCCTCCCCAGTGAGGGACACCGGGCCGTGCTCTGCTGGACAAGCCCCATCACGGTGGACCGACCTCGGTTGCTGGTGCGATGGGGGCCGTTCAAGGCCGGGGCGCCGGGAGAGCGAAGGGGACGCCGACGGCAGCCCACCGGGGGCACTTAGCTTCCTTTATACTTGCCATCTGCCGGTTTGCCTTATTCCACCTCAAGGAGGTCGTCAAGAGGTGTTAATGGGTTGTTTTTGTTATTTTTAAACTTAGTGTAATCGTCTTCCTTTCACTTCCTTTCCCTCCCCCCACCGTGGGGCTACTAGTTTGCGGATTTGACTTAGAGGACAGGTTGGCAGTTCTTGGGGGACGCTTCCGAAGTAACGTACCTAAAAAGGAAATTACATGCATAGTGTCTTGAACGCATGTCCTCGACGTACCAGCTGCTTAGGGAATGGGGGCCCGCCCGCGGGGTAGAGGGCGTTTCTGCGCCGGCCGGGCGCTGGGTGAGGCCGTGTGCGAGCAGCGCGGGAGAACACGCTAGAACAGATGAAGAAAATCACCAAGCACAAGACTGGATTCCTAGTGTCAACTGTTTGCTCAGGGCGGAGTGTCTCGTCGCCCTAAAACACCAACAGCACCGCGCTCTTGGCTAGCCAACGTCCTCCCCCCAGGGGGCCCCTCCAGGGAGTCCCTGGGGCCTGCGATCTCAGTTCTCCACTGAGCTGGGGCCCGTTCCTGCCGAAGCCCTCCGCAGGGGACCCCCCTCCGCGCTTCCTGCTTTGGCACCAGGCTCCGAGAACTCTGCGTGGACAAGCAAAGGGAGAGGTCACGTGTATCCTGAAGCGGGTGGAGGCGGCGTCAGCGATTGAAGGAAACCTCGGGCAACACGTCATTGCTTTGGAAAGGATCTTCCCCTAGGCTGGTAGGTGACATTTTTTTCTGGATTGTATGGAGTCCTGTTAAAGACCACGTCCGCTTGAGGTTCTCCTGGCCCGCGCTGGGAGGAATCTTACATGCCAACTTCCAGGCTGCTCTGGGAAGCCACGTGTAGTAGCACAAACCCACAGCCTACAAGCTCTCAGAAAGTATACTAGAATGTTCCGGTAGTTAAAAACAGGCCTCCACAACCTTAAAAAATAATCTGGTTCGGACTGCCAACGTGCATTATGGTCAGGCACGGCACTGCTGCACCAAGGGATGGAATTGGAGGATGTCAGTGGAATATAAACTACCATCATGATTTTCAACTTTATGTGCAGACTCCTAAGTCTAAAGAATGTCTCTTATTGAGCTGGCTATCCCAGTACCTAACTTTATTTCAATAAGGTGCACAGCCCCTTTTCCAAAGATTTTTTTTTAAGATTTTACTTATTCATTCATAGAGACACAAAGAGAGGGGCAGGGAAGAGAGAGAGAGGTGCAGAGACCCAGGCAGAGGGAGAAACAGGCTCCATGTAGGGAGCCCGAGTGGAACTCCAGGATCACACCCCGCCCTTTTCCAAAGATTTTAATTTCTACACCCAATGTGAGGCTTGAACTCAACCCCAGGATCAAGAGTCACATGCTCTACCGACTGATTTAAGTTCCGTTTTGCTAAATATTCTGGCTGGAGGTTGCTCAGCCCCATGAATGGGGCTCATGCTCAGAACTTGAGGATACTTTTGCATCAAGATTTTCTTGAGTTGGTTGAGATTTGTGCTGGTTTCTTGGTTAAAATCGACCCTGATTGTCATCATAACCAAATTCAGTTTGTAGTTATTGGTTAACCCTGAAGTGGAGATGATGGCATTTAGTCAACAAGTTATATTTTAACTGTATTTTAAGGCCTAATCATTCCAATGAGCCATTCACACACACCTACTACTTAAAACAGATGAACAGGTAATAAAATAGGAGTTGATCCTTGAACCCCTCCCCTCAGTAAAAAACCTGCACCTATCTTTCCACTCTGCACTTAATAGCCTACTGTTGACCAGAAGCCTGACAGCATTAACACGTATTTTATAGGTCATATACTACAGTTTTACCATAAAATTAGAGAAAAAAAATACATTTACAGTACTGTAAAAAAAATCCAGTTCAAACCCATGTTGCTCAAGGGTCAAGTGGATTGACATTTCACAGGCAGTGTGCTGCCTGGGGTTGTCCTGTTGAGCCCATTTTAATCAGGCTTTCTTCCTCTACTATTCACTCGTCAAGTTCACCTTCTTGGTCCTTATCTTGACTAGTCTGCAAGAGATAACCCTGAAACACTGTCCACTCGACTTCCAGACCCCTCCCTGGATTCTACCTCGGGGACACGTCCTCGTCCTCGGGGTCACTTTGCCAGTCGGTCATCATGGTGACCAATCTCAAGCTCTGTCAGCGGGAGGGGTCTGTGCTTCCCAGATGATCTCACCCAGGGTTCTGGCTTCAAGTTATCTTGCAGAGACTTTTCCAGTAGCTCTTTAAATCTTTAGATTTCTCCTCTATCCTCCCAAGTGAAATACTCAACTGCTTCTCGAATTCATCAGGTCAGATGTCCCCCTTCTGCTCCTGTGGCCTTCCTACGGGATTTGGTTTCCTCTTTCCCTGGATACTCACTTCTATGCCTTAGCCCTTTCTCTCGCCATCGTGGGTCCAGCAAACTGGTCACGTTCTCCCTAGAACATGTCAAGCACACTCCACTTCAGATTCTGCATTTGCTATTCTTTGCTTGGAATGTTCTGCCCTCAAATAGCCACATAGCCTTACTTGCTTTCAAGCTCCTATTCAAATCCTATCACAAAGGCCTTCCCAGACTATTAAAGTCCCTTTACAATTCCTCTCCACACACCTAACAAAGCCTCTAGGGCTTTAAAGACACTAAGAACATGCCCGTATCAATCTTAGAACCAATAAAGACATAAAGGACAGGCCCTGTGATGTGCACTCGTCCCGTGTTAACTCTTGCTCCAAGCAGCTTAACCAGACTCTTACCTGTAACGACTGAAAATACGGCTGGGTGGATTTGGATCCTTCACTTCCTACAAAGCCTCTGTACCATTACTCCTGTCCCTTTCCATAGCTAACTCTCTACTCCGGTCAGACCTCTCCTGTAATCAGGTATTCAGGGTCACAGCACTGACCGCGGCCCAAAAATTCTCCCATTTCAGAAAGGGCCGACTGGTCTCCTGGGTCAGCAACTGGCACTTTTTCTGTATTTTAAGGTCAGGTCAGAATGCTTAAAATTGCCACCTACTTGACTAGTTTCCAGTACTTGAGTTTGCTTCCACTAATCACCAGGGGGCACCATCAACCTTAGTGTCTCAGGCTGTGACCCACATGATGGACTCCCAAACCTCTAGGGCAAATTCCAGACAGCTACATCACTGGATCTGCCCAAGTTCACATCTTAGGAGATGAGTCACTGGCTTGCCTTCAATTTAGTTTTAACCCTTAAGCCCTTAAGAATGGAATTAAAAGGCAAGGATCTGGGAAGCCATTTTCCAACACTTCTTGTAAACTCCAATTTTAGATCCTTTTAGTAAAACAAGATCTTCACTGTTAACCAAGTCACTTCTAAGCTGCAGTTTTTTTCCCTGTACTCCCCCATTCAATCTTGACTGCCACGGTCAGGCAGCTAGAAAGCGCGAGGATACCTTTTTCTTGCATCTCTAGCAGAAACCTTAGGAGCAGATAGAAAACTGCTCCAGGTCTGTCACATGGATGCATTTTCTTTATTCTCCTTCAGACACCCACAGCCCTTTCAGATACAACAGGACACAACCAGCTATCCCACATTCCATCTACAACTTCATCTTTTAAAGCAAGGCTGGCAAACCTTTTAAGGGGTCACATGGTTGTTTTAGACTATGTAGGCCTTAAGGTCTGTCCTACCCTGCTCTTAGGAGCATGGCAATGTTAAAAAAAAAGATACAAATTTAGGTTTTCGTACTTTTCATATCCCACCAGCTATTTTTTTTCCATTTAAAAAATATAAACACCTTAAAAGTCACCCAACAAGTGGCGGGACAAGCCAGTTTGCCAGCCCCAATCCAGATAGTTTGACACAAGCATTCCAGGAGATGTCTAGATTTCTCTAGAACTTGGCTCTACTTAAGATAAATAAGATCAGACAATACTTTGCTTCCAACTGTTATTAGTCTCTTTTTATTCTTTTGGCAATCTCTTCCAGAGTTAACTACTTCCGTTTGTAGGTGATGAAATGTGTAAGGAATCCATTTCAAATGTTGGCCCAGCTATGAGCATGGTCTTTCCCTTTACTTGAACTCAGAATTAAGACTTTTGGTTCTTGTTTTTTATATTCCAGTCCCAGAAGTAGCTTTCACTGTAGAAGTTATCTGCAGGCAGTCTTATGCTTTCTAGCAGTAGTCTACAACCAGGCTCTAGCTTCTTCAGGACGCTACACAGGATGGATTTAAAAATGTGTTAAACTAAGAGGCATTCTCTCAAATGAGTTTAAATGCATTTTATTTTTAGACAACCTACATGACATGTTTTTTTCTTAAAAACAATGCCTCCGCTCCAAATAAATCAAGGTCAAAATAAAGAGCTCAAGATGACGTCAGTCCCATTTGTCTAAGTCCTGGTGTTGTGTGGATGAAGAGCAGCAGCCAGTTAGGACAACAGGTGATACATCCAAAGTTAGCAGCCAAGTTCGTTACTGTAGAAACAAGACAGGGTATTAACACTTTGATCCAGTATGAAAACAGTTAACCCTTCCACGCCACCGATGTACTCCCCTATTCAATCTGGGCTGCCACACGGACAGACAGAAAGCGCAGGGATTTTTTTCTCTTGCATCCTAGTGCAAACCAAAAGAACAACAGCCAATTGTTCAAGGTCTATCAGTGGATGCAGGACTATCCTCACCAAAGCAGGGGTGGCACATTTTCTAAAAATCTCATTCTGAAGCAAGTCCCACTCACACACATACTTTTTGTTCTACCAACAAAACCCGCAGATATTCCTGGAATACTTTCCGTAGGAGCTCATGCCATCTGAAGACATTTTTGTCCGCTGAGGCCTCTTCTCTTATTTAGGGTAGCCTCAACTTTATCTTGTTCCTAATTTATATGGAAGCCTCTGAAAGCTAGAATAATGAATGCTCTCATTTCTGTACGGCCTCCAACAATTCCTTGCATAGTAGACATTCATTTAATTGTACTAAAGGATTCTGCATACTGGATAAGCAGCCAGCTCTAACTTTATTTACTAAAAGCTAGTAAGTAACATCAAGGCTTCCAGTGACCAGCTGCCAATCATCAGTAAACCAAAGTGAAAAAGGTCTAGCACCATACATGCCACTCACGCACGTATGCGTGGCAAAATACGAAGAGAAAGACTTTCTATGGGGGGGGGGATCAACAGAATGCAGTTTCTTATCTCCAGTTTAGTACATATGCTGGGATTTAAGCCACCTACATGAAAAGCTTTCTGTATTTCTAAGTGCCTTTCCTGTGCCGTAAAAATCTTGTATGCGAAACACAACCTTTTTAGACTCCCAAAGAGAAACCAGAGTTGGACCTACATTTTGGAGACTGCTGTAAAACCCATTCTAACTACCCAACAGCAAGAGACAGTCACACAGAAGATGTCTCCACTTTTACATTACTGATTTCAACCCACGTCCTTATACTTACACATTTTTCCATTTCTAAACCATCCTTAAAGAAAATCATATAAGGGGTCACACCGTCCTCACGGTAGTCCAGGAGTGCAACCATGCCATCTGGATTCATGTTTTCACCAATAAAGAACTTAGGGAGCAAACAACAAATACCCAGAATTAGGCCATTATATACAGATCGTATCAAAACAATCTACAGTAAAACAAAGGATTCAAAACACAATTTAAGAGATTTTCACCAGAAGAAAAAAAAACCTACTACTCAAACCTCTGTTCACCAAATGAGAACACTAACAATTGACCAAAGTGAGTACAGAGCAGTCCAGAACACTTCAGGCTTTTTGGAAACACTCTCTCAACCCCACATATACAACTCCAACTCTGTTAAAAGCCTGTTTATGTCATCAAACAGCGAGAGAGCATGTTATAGGAGGAAAGTTATCTTCTGGCCAGAGGACGTGTGAAAGCTGGAAAGTCAAAGAGCCAGGCTGTAAGGAGTTTTATTCTTTAAGTTCTATAAAGCGCCAACGGAGAGTCACTGAGTTTCCCAACAGAAGTGTAGAAAGAACTCCAGGGACAATGGGCCTGGAATTGTAAATAAAAAGACAGGAAGACTACAGGAGGTTACCAAGCAATTCTAGACCGGGAGAAATGAAACCTGTCATCTGGAGAGTAAGTAGGGATGAGGTTCTACAATCAGCAGGCAAGATCTAGAAACACACTTGGGAGCAGGAAAGGCCACTTTCCACAGTGAAGACTACTGGAAAGGAATCTATGAAGTATTTAAACTGCTCAGAAGACCCAGAAAATAATTCCGTTACATCAGCGATTTATCAAGTCATTTGTTGCTCTGGCAGTTACAACTGCACAATTCTTGAGAAACATTTATAGTATTTACCTGGTAGTTTTTGAAATTAGCAAGGATGTGCTTGATTTGTTCTGCAGCCCCTGTCATAAAGGGCTTTACTCTTTCTGGCCTCTGTTCTTCAAGTTTGCCTTTGATTCTAAAACAGTATTTTATTGACAGGTTAAAGTACTCAGTTCTCAGCAAAACAAATTTTTGTCAGTTAAAACAAACAAACAAACAAACAAACTAAAACAAACAAGCGCTGAAAAGGGCAGCTGGCTGTCACCGGACAAAAACTCACATGGCACAATCAAGAAACTACTAGCTCACAGGAATGAAAGTTTCAAGTCTTGACAATTTAGGGTTTCACGTTATTCCCAAAGTACACTTCTGAAGCGCTAAAACCACACTTCCAGCTGCGGTATGCTCACATTAGTTTATTTATAGGAAGGCATCTGTCTTTGTGAGCTCATCAACAAGAAAGCCTTCCCCAAGCATGCCTGCTGCTAAAGAACCTCCAGGTTACCTTATCCCCAAATCCCGCAGGGCTGACCTTTTAGGGCGGGCTGCGCCAGGACCACTTACGATTTCATGTAATCTTTGATGTACTTCTTGTAGGCTTCTTTTGTGAAGCTGGTTTCCTGCAAGTGGTGGTTCATGACTATATCGACACCGGTGATTACTGTGCTTTCGGTACCTTCGCCCTCCGGGCCTTCCGCGGAGGCATTTCCACCAATGAGCGAGTCGTCAATGTTACCCTCAGTCCTACTGACCATCTACATTAAGGAGAAGAAAAAAAAAAAAAAAAAAAAGTCCGGTTTCAGACGTTTTGGACCTTTGCATAAAGGCATTCCCCCCCAGATCTTCTAGGTCAGCAGTTCACACAGTCCTCCTCCCACCCAACACTTCGGACTCTTGCTACAAACCACGAAGACAGCGTCATGGAAAAAAATAAAAATGAAATAAAAGCCTCACGCCCCTCGAAATTCCTCCAACACCGAAACTCAACAAGGATTCTTTGTTGGGCCAGAAGGGCGGCAGGGCCCTTCACACCCCGGGGGAGGGTGCGCGGCAGGGCCGGCCGCCCGGGAGGAGGATGGGCGCCCCGGCGGCGCGGACCTATTTCCAGGCTCAGCTCCGCCTCCACTTTTCTAGAAAAACCCGAGAGCCGGAAGAGAGCGTCCCCTCCGCCAGGAGGCAGCGGAGAGGATTGCACAACCGCGGGCGGGGGAGCGAGCGGCGGAAACCCGAGCCCGCCCGGCCTCGCCTCCCCCGCGCCGCCGCCGCCGCCGCGCCGCCCGACTCACCTTCCCCTCCACCTCCAGGCACAGCCCGTCCGCGATCTCCCGGATCTTGTAGATGTCGGAGAACATCTCGTCATCTGCTCGGGGACACAGGCCCGCCCGTCACCGCGCGCCCGGGGCTCGGGGACCCGCGCCGCCATCGCCCGCGCGGGCCCCGCTGCTGCCCCGCTGCTCCCGCTGCTCCCGCGTGCCCGAGCCCCCGGCCCCCACCCGGGCCCGACCCCTCCTCGCCCCGGAGAGGGGCCGGCGTCCTCCAGGCCCGCGCGGCCTCCCCGCCCCCCGCGCGGCCTCCCCCGGGCCCCTGCGCGCGGCGGCACGGGGGGTGCAGCCACGACTCACGGCTGATGAGGTCCCGGTAGATGATCATGACGACGGCTGGAGACGGGCGGCGGCGGCGCGGGCTTGGCAGGAGCCGGGAGCTCGGGGCGAGCGCGCGGCAGCCGGAGCGGCACTCGGGGGGAGGGGGGAGCGGGCGGAAAAGGCCGACTCAGCCGCTCCCCAACCTCATATAGAGGGCACGTCCCCCTACGTCATCGCCCGCGGCGCCTCCGGAAGCGCCGCGCGCGGTGACGTGGCACGCACGGCCGCGCGGGGGGCGGGGCCGCGGCGAGCATCCGGGGACTTGGCCGCGGGGACACAATGGCGCCCTCCGCCGCGCCCGCGGCTCGCCGGGTCCCGGCCTCCCCGCCCCGCGGAGGTGCCGAGCCTGCTGCGGCTTCGAGGAGGATGGCGGTCCCCCAGGCCTCCGCGCCCGCCCGTTCCCGGGAACACCAGCGAGCCGCCGTGGAGGACTTGGCGTTTACGGAAGGTCGGGGCCCGGGGACAGGGTGGAGCGAGGCCGTCCGCGGGGAGGGGGTGGGGCGCGGGGCAGTCGGCCTCGCTCCAGGCCCTCGGCGGGTGGGGGGGGGCTCCCTGCCCGGCCGTGGTTTCGGGGCGCCCCGTGCGGCTGCGGTGGCCCCGCCGGCGGGGAGGGGGAGGGGGCCCCCCGACGGGCTTCCGCGTGAGGAGGCCGCGGCCCGTCAGGGACGCCGCTGCAGAGCCTGCCCGTCCCGTTTTGCGCTTGGCCTTGGACCCTGTCCTCCGTGCGAAGAAAGAAAAAAAAGAGCTTCAGCGTCCGTCGACGATGACCTCGAAGATGACCTCGAAGATGACCTCGAAGGGATAGCGCCGCTGCCACAGAGTCGGACGGAACTGGGGGGCTCCCCGCCGGCCCGAGCGTTGGTCGGACTTCACGTCCAGGTGTCCGGTTCGGAGCAAACGCTCAAGGAAGCCGTTTTGTTTCCGTTTTGGTGGGAAACCCGAGAGCTTGTTAAATTCTACAGATACTTTTACGCCCTGCTAGGTCCCTGGCACCGGCTTTTGCACGGAGCTCCCAATCGTGAGCAAGTTAAAACCAGATTTTTTACACAATTTTTCACACAGACTTTTCACACAAGTGTTTTTTCTTTTTTTTTTTTTTAAGATTTTATTTATTCATGAGAGAGAGAGGCAGAGGCACAGGCAGAGGGAGAAGCAGGCTCCATGCAGGAAGCCCGATGCGGGACTCCATCCGAAGGCAGACGCTCAGCCCCTGAGCGCCCCAGGCGTCCCCCTCACAGAAACTTTTGTTCTGGTACATCAAAGAAGCCAGGCAATTATATATCGACCCCCCCCCCCCCCCCCCCCCGCTAAATCCAGTAATGAAGCGTTCTGCACAGAGAGCAACTCGAAAAGAGCAGAACCCAGAACAGTGAATTGAGATGATGGAGGAGTCAAAATGTGCCCTCCCCAAAAAGATGTGATCTGGAGCTGCACCCAACATCCCATCTGAGCATCTGCCTTTGGCTCAGGTCGGGTCCCCGCAGGGAGCCTGCTTCTCCCTCTGCCTGTGTCTTTGTCTCTCTCTGTGTGTCTCTCATGAATAAATAGGTAAAATCTTAAAATCTGTGCAGGGGGACCTGGGTGGCTCAGGGCATGAGGTCTATATTCTTGCGATCAAGCCCTGAGTTGGGCTCCTGGCTCAGTGAGGAATCTGCTTCTCCCTCTGCCTCATTCCCATCCTCAAGCTCTCTCTTTCTCTTTCAAACGAATAAATAAAACCTTTTTTAAAAAAAAAAAATTTTAAAAATCTACACCAAATCTTGAAAATGCCTACTTAGAACACGAGTACTGCAAATAGGGAAAATTATTCATAAATAATTACAAGCCACTAACAAAATTGGAAGGATTTGGTCTTTAACTATTAGCTTTTACTTTGGCATCATTTGAATGTTTTTTTAAGTAGGCTCCCCACCCAGGGTAGAACCCAAAGAGAGGCTTGAACTCAACCCTGAGATTATGACCTGAGCTGAGATAGTCAGGTTCTTAACCAACTGAGCCACCCAGACACCCCTGAAATTTTTTATAACATTTTCTTACAATGATTTATTCAGTGGTTTCTAAAAAAACCTAAGGTTGTCCTAAATTTTACAGCTGAATATGATTTGGGATCTCTTGAAGTTAAAGAGGTCTCAAAGACATTGTCTTCTGGTCTCTTAACTCAAGTCCTCACATGAAAAAAGTACCTCAGAAGGGTTCATTCACCCTTTTATCAGTTCAGGATTGCCTACGGTGGCTTAAACACGTAAGGGTTTATTGATTCTCTTGTATAAAAGAAATTCAGGAATCTGCAGTCCAGACACGTGTGGTGATGTCATGGGCGTCAGAGGCCTAGGATTTTCCTTTCTTCACCAATATGGCCTGCAACAGAGCTGGAACTCCAGCCATCACATCCACCTCACAAGCTGCAAGAAAAGGGGAACAACAAAAGTATATTCCAACTGTGTTTCCCTCCTAAGGAGCAATTCTAGAAGTCCTGAAAGAGGACTTCGTTGGCCTCCATTTTGACCTCAGACTTTCTAGTCGGGTTCTTTCCAGCTTTTCCCTTGGCTCAGGTGGAAGAGCCTGAAGGCAAAGCATCCCCTGATGAGAATCAGAACTACCCCCTGAAGCAATAAGGACTGCCCTGAGCCAACAAGACTCCACCCATGATAGACTCTTAAGATGATGATGGATTTAAACCTTCCTTTACTACCCACCAGCAGTTACCCACCCACCTTTGCCCCACATTTTCCTTATACATACCTGGAAGTATTTTCAGCCCTTTGGAGATGGTCTTTGAACCCCTACTCCTCTGTCTTCCCAGTGTTGGCCTCACTGAAATAAACTTTGTTTCACCACCACATCTCTCTGCCTTTGGACTTTGTCAGCAGCAAGTGGTTGAACTTGGTCTGTTTGGGAATCTCAGAGGCAGGTGCTCTTGCATCCTGTGTCCTGGCTACAATCATATTGAGCAATTACGTGGATGCAGCTAGTTGCAGTGAAGGCTGCAAACTGTAGCCTTCCAGCTCGTGGACACTGGCTCGTTGCCACCCTTAAATCAGGATTTGGTTATTAAGAATGCAGGCAGCTAGTAGTCCTTGTACCCAAAGTGCAAAGGGTCAGGTTCTCAGCTTAGAGGGTTTTCACTTTTACTCACTGGGGGTCAGGTTCAGGGAAAATAATTAGTATTTACCAAACTCCTATGAAACTGATTTGCAAAACAAGAATGCCATTAATATACAATGAGAAATTCCTAGCTGGTTACATGTAGTATAGAAAGTTGTGTTTACTTAAGTTACAGAAAATGTAGTTTACTTAAGAGGGAATTTGGCAAGGAGGTTAGAATGCAGTTTGTGAGCGTGACATTAGGTGATTTAGGAATGAACCAGTTGAGGGATCCCTGGGTGGCGCAGCGGTTTAGCGCCTGCCTTTGGCCCAGGGCGCGATCCTGGAGACCCGGGATCGAATCCCACGTCGGGCTCCCGGTGCATGGAGCCTGCTTCTCTCTCTGCCTCTCTCTCTCTCTCTCTCTGTGACTATCATAAATAAATAAAAAATTAAAAAAAAAAAAAAAAAGGAATGAACCAGTTGAGCTGAACTGTTCCTGATGCATGGTCTGAATCCCTTCTGAGATCTGTTCATGAATACTCTTGCTCATTTTACCCAGAGTTTTCATACTCTGACAAATCATTACTTTAGTCAAGTTGCAAGGCGAATTCTTTCCTTCAGAGCAGAGCTGTTGACAAGAGCTTTGATAATGGAAATGTTCAGTCGCGAGTAGCTAGTGAGTATCTGAAATGTGGCTAGTGTGGCAATGGAATTATTTACTTCTATTTAATTAATTTAAATATCCTTGGCTAGTAACTTTTATTGGACAGCAGAGCCCTATGATATATACTCTATGAGTAGGGGTCTTTTTAATTGCTGTACCTCAGGAGTCAGAACAGGGCTTGACCCAATAATTGTTGATAAATGAATGGATGAAATAAAGTTTCATTTCTCTTAATTAAGTCGAATCCCATCTCAGTTAATAGGATTCAGCATAAATCCAAGACCTAGTATAACAATGCTTTTCAGAGAACTGGGAAACAACTTGGTGAATAGTGATCAACTTAATTAAAAATGACACAATGAAAAGAAAATAGAATCACGTGTAGTAAAGGTGAATATTGTTTCATGAAACTTAGGTTTTAGATTTACACATGTATATGTGTACTGGATCTGAACATAAGACATTTCATGTGGATCTAGGTCAAAAAGTTTTGAAAGCCATTGATTTAGGCAAGTTTTCAAATATATTTCTTGGCAGCTTCAACTGGTCAATGTCAGTGGATGATTTTTTTTTTTTAAAGGTGCCCCAAGATTTGGTCAGTTTCTACTTTTTTACTCTGTGGCCTTTTGGACAAGGCTCATGTTTTTGTCACAAAGTCTCGTGTTAATGTTCTATGACCTTGCTCAACAGTACCAAGGCCTGGCTGGGAGTTCCAGGCCAGTTGCAGGCAATATCTAGGTCTAGCTGAGAAGACAGGTTCTTTTTTTTTTTTTTTTTTTTTTTTTTTTATGATAGTCCCACAGAGAGAGAGAGAGGCAGAGACATAGGCAGAGGGAGAAGCAGGCTCCATGCACCATGCACCGGGAACCGACGTGGGATTCGATCCTGGGTCTCCAGGATCACGCCCTGGGCCAAAGGCAGGCGCCAAACCACTGTGCCACCCAGGGGTCCCGAGAAGACAGGTTCTTAAGTGAAAGGAAGCAACGTAACTAATATAACTTCTATTAGTGTCTTTGATGAATGTAAAATGATTGTTAGAATCTAAGATATTCTTAGATATTTGAATATTTCTTTTAACTTTGAAACAAGACTTAAATTATCTGGCTTAAAAAATCACAATACACGTAATAAAGCATTTATAAACCGTAGAGAAAAACTACAGATAGCTAGTCTTGATGTTAATATTCCCCCCCATCGATGTTCGTAAACTTTTTACAAAGTAAGGTAGAGGAAGGGGGTGCCTGGCTGGCTCAGTCAGTAAGGTGTACAACTCTTAGAACTATTGATTTCCGGGTCATGAGTTCAAGCCCCACATTGAGTATACAGGTTACTATAAATACATACATACATACACATAAATGGATAATAAATTGTATTTTTTTAAAAAC